GATACGAGAGTGTGGAGATAAAATTTGAGTATGCTGGCAGAAATTTCAAGTTTTCTGAACACAACTCGTTTAATAAATAAGTTATATAGGTATTTTAGGGGATTGACCTAAAACTAACCTGAATTTTTATCGTGCTATTGACCTAAATAAGTTATACAGTTGTTTGTTATGCTTTCTAATGTGCAGGCTGTTCAGCTCACAAAGTTTGATTACAGATTTTCAAATAAGTTGGATCCAAATTTACAAAAGCTTAGGTGTAGAGCAAATTATCATGCCTTGAAGTTTACTGACCTTATTTGTAACACCCCGACTCTAATTAAATTTCCTATTCAAAGTAATTAATTATATTAAATGTGAATTTACGAAATTACCCTTGGGGTAGGGGTATTTCGTTCATTTTCTTAATTCGGAGAGAGAGTTTGGGGCAATGTTTGGTATTTTTGGATAGATCGTACGGAGATGAGTCCGTGGACGTGTGGTGGACTCGTCTAGGAGTGGTAACGAAGAAGTTACGGTTAAAACAAGCTCAGTGGCATAATCGTAAATTTCTCGAAGTTGTTTTGTTAAAAATCAGAACACTCTCTCTCTCTCTCTCTCTCTCTCTCTCTCTCTCTCTCTCTCTCTCTCTCTCTCTCTCTCTCGTGCGTCTTCTTTCTCTCCTCGGTTTCTCTCTCCTCGACCCGAGCACTCTCTCTCTTCGATTCTCCCAGCACCGGTCACGGCAAGGGCCGGCACTAGTCTTGTTCGAACCGGCGTGACCTCCTCGTCTGAACCCACCCGATTTCCAGACCGGAAAGCTCGAATCCTGCCGGCGGTGACGACTGGTTTTTCTCCGGATTTTCACTACGTTGCGCCGTCGAATCTGCAGCCCATTTTCGGTGAATCAGGTGCGTGTGGCGGCTCGTGGGCAAGAGTGGTAGAGCTGAAATTTGTCCTGATGAGATCCTTAGGATGTCACGAGCGCGTAGGATTTCGCAGATCTGGATTCCGAGGTCGTTTGACTATCGAACGGATTTTCGCATATTGTGCGTTATCCTGGTTTGATAGGTTCCGACCGTTGGATCGTTTCCATGATTGAAGTATGTTGTTCTAGGTACTCTTAGAACCGTGTAGGATTTCGCGGATCGTGAATCGGAGCCCCGGATGTTCCGATTCAATAACTTAAATTTTGAGTTTTACGATAACCGTCCAATCGTGCGATCGTGAGCGATTTAACGGTCCGTTTCGGACCAAACTTGCAGGACGTGCATCCTAGACCTCGTAAAACCTTTAGGAACTCCCGGATTGTAAAACAGAGGTCGTGGGTCCCGTGGGCCCGGTTGACCAAAATTGGGAAGTTTGACCGTCGGTTGACCGAGTGTCTCCCGAAGCTGTTCCATCGTTCGAATTGGGTAGTTGGACCCTAGAACATCTCTTTCCTCGTACTCATTAGAAACCCGGGAAACTAGGGTTTTAATTTAAAGTTCTGTTTCGAAGCGCTTGATGTTAACCGCGTTTTCGTATTCTGAAATAGGTACTCCGACCACGCATACGCAGCAGGCGGGACCCTCTTAGGGTCAAGCAGTGTGGGACTACTTGTGAGTGGACTCTATTTTCAAATCTTCAGCATGATTTTATTAACAGAAAAATATTGCATATCGTTTTAATTGGTTTATTGAATATATTATATATTCGGTTGTGGAATTCGATGTTTTTATAAAGCTTTGATATTATATTTGGATTTTGAGAATCTCTATATATGTTTGGCTATGTGTGGGGTACTTGGGATGTTAAAATGAGTTTGTGGAAAGGTTTGAGTATTGAAATGTTTGTTTGGAGTGCTTTAAGCACTACCCTATGTACCTCCCCGGATCTGAAACTTGGTTACTGATACTTGAGATACTTGGAATTGTCGGAACCCGGGACATCCTTGATGGGATGTTACTGTAGACCCTGGTTTTGGGATAGTCTGCGCGCGTAGGACTGGTTTTTTAGGCGTACAAGCTTTGAGTGTCTCGGTTGTACGTGCTGGCTGAGAGTTAGTCCTCCAGTTGGACGGCTCGTTCCCTAGCTACATGGTGAATTGAGGAATGGCTCTGCCATGTGGACTAGTCAAAAAATCCCTCGGTTGGATTGTTTCCCCGGTACAACTAAATATTGGTTATATTTATATATATATATTATTATTATGTATATATATGACTATTCATTCGTTCTTGTTTCTCGGTAAGGATACTTCCTCGCCGGTCGTACCATTGGGTACATTTTCGAGAGTTTAGTCTTTCGGGACTTATAAGTTTTGAATGGTGGGTTTGTGAAGTGTTATTCACGGATTTCGGACTTGGTATCCGGTATTATTTTGGTATATGTTTATATACTTGCTTATGACGGTTTTTAAGATGCATTTGGATTTCTTGCATGATGATTTTATAACGGTGGGGTTATATTACATTGATTTAATTGAACTGAACTTTATTTTTGTCCACTCACAATTTTCTGTTTTGCGCCCCCCAGCCAGTAGTGACTGAGCTTCGCAGTCGAGCCGGATCGGGTGCTTTCGAAACTTGAGTCTTCGTAGGGACTCCTTCATCTTTTCCTTTCAGTTGAACTTTACTTCTGTTGTAATTGAATTTCTTAGATATGCTATGTATCGCCCGCTTAGGGTTTGAATTGTGAGGCCGGAGGCCTTTGTTGTAAACTGTTTAAATTGCTTTTAAAGCATGCTGCTGGTTGGGTTTGTTAAACTGTAATTTTGAGCAGGTTGAAGTTTGGGAATGTTCAATTTACAGGGGAGACTGCCAAATTTTTGGTAGAAAGTCTCGGTCTTTAGTAAGTGGGCCCGGCATCGGGGTGATGTCGGCAATAAGACGGGTCCGTCCCGGTTTCTGAGGAAATTCGGGGCGGGTCCTGTCATTATTAATGAAATGGGGAAAACGTTGGTTGACAGAATGAGGATGAAAAGCAAGCATTTCATTGCCCTGCATTTGAGGTAAATTGCAAAATAGCTGCTTGAGTATTTTTTTCCTATTGTACATACTAATGTACTGTGAGCAAGTTATGCCATTGACAGAATACTTGCTTGTGCAGATAATTTCTTTGTAGTGTTAATGTGTGTTTTGTCTTGAAAAATGATTGAATTTTGTGTTCTTTAGCATGCTATATGTACGAGTGGGTTGTACAGCACAAAAACCTCTATTTAGGTTGTTTTGATAGGTGGAGTAGGTTTTGTGCTAGAGTTTTCCAAATTCTTTTGGAGTGCATAGGAAAAAGTTTCTGATATTGGTAGACCATGTTATAGGTTTGAGCCTGATATGCTGGCATTTTTGGATGTGATTTTGGTGGAGGAGAAAAAGAAAGGAAAGAACTTGGGAAAATTCGGAAAAGGTGGAAAACTTTACATGTAAGGCTTCACTGATGTCTTGAATGATGTCATTCAATAGTGAACTGCTTTATATAATTTGTATCTCTGCATTATAACTACATTTGATATTTGGGGTTATATTGCATGCAGGCAAGCAACCCTGACAAGGTACGAAGACATGGCAGATGCCCGCTGACTCCAGAGGAAGTTGGCCTTATGCTTAGAGCACTGGGTTTTGGAAGTGATATTCACTTGTATGTGGCATCGGGTGAAGTATACGGAGGTGAAGAGACGGGAAGAAACTTTTCCCGAACTACCACTCAAAAGAGACTATAGCAAGTAAAGAGGAGTTGACACCATTTTCATCCTTCTCTTCTCGAATGGCTGCACTTGACTTTATTGTTTGCGATGAAAGTGATGTTTTCATCACCAACAACAATGGCAATATGGCTAGAATGTTAGCTGGTCGAAGGTATTAAAACTCGAGTTCAGGGATACATTTCTGTCTTCTGGTGGAAGGGTTTGATTTGATCATGTTTTGGTTTATAACTAGTTTGTTTACTGATGCAGGAGATACTTTGGTCATAAACCAACAATCCGTCCAAATGCGAAGAAACTGTCTCCATTGTTCATGAATCGTAATAACATGAATTGGGAAGAATTTGCCTCCAAACTTCGAACTAATCAAATTGGATTCATGGGAGAGCCAAATGAGATAAAGCCTGGCAGGGGTGAATTCCATGAAAACCCAGCAGCCTGCATATGTAGTGCATCTGGCACAAAGTCCAGCGAAGTTCCAATTCCTCAAAATGAGAGTTTGACAGCCAGAACATATATAAGGACGATGACATGAAAAAGGACAGTGGTTACATGACAGACGAGCAAATAACTGAGGATGAGCAGGATTGGTCTGAGATTTGATTATACCGAAATGAATATCAATCGTTCTCAGGGTAAAGTGCTGACTAGTGTAAGAGTTTCAGATCCAGGTCTTTTACTTAAACCTGACGAACCAGAACTCGAAGAGTTCTTTTCAGACTAGACTGAATTAATTAGGAGAAGTCTAGACTGGAGACTGAATTAATTAGGAGAAGTCTAGACTGGATCTCCACCTCCGTGAGTTAGCTGATTTGTCCAAATGAATTCATCACCAAAATTCTTTGCTGGTTTCTTTTGATCGGTTACTTGTGCGCACAAGATTGATTTTGTTACACTGAAGGGTAGTAATAACAAGGACGCACAATGTACATAGAAGGCCTCTGTAGCAGCAGCATCGGCATTGGAATAACATAACGGAGTCGTAATATAGTCATATTCAGATTTTGAAACTTGTAAATGAAGCTACTGGTACATCTTTTGCTGTTTTTTGTTTTCTTTTTCTTTTTCTCTGATGATTCTTGCCGTAAGGCAGGAATGTTTATATGATATTTTTTTTTTTGTTGGTCGAAAAGAGTGTTTATATAATCCTTGCTCTTCTTTTGTACCTTTAAGTACGCGTTCTATGATAGGCATTGAACCCAACAATGGCTCTGCTTTCTTCATCTCCCTCCAAAATTTTAATATTTTGTAATTGCTTTAAGGTGATGTTGATAGAAAAACGTATTTCAATTAAGATATGCAAACTGAAGAAAGGTGCCAATTTCCCGTTTATGATTAAGAATGAAGCCATTCAACAATTTAATACTTGAATTCAATGAAGAATATATCACATGGCTTATGTGGGCAGTGACAAACTAAACTCAAAAGCATCCTCAGCTAAAAAGCTTTGCGATGGAGAGGAGGGCGAAGGGTTAAAACAAGAAAGACATCCCTCAGCCACAAGGCTTGCAAACCAAACAGCTAAAATCAAAAGAAATTTTGAATTTAGGCATCTTGGCCGTACAAAGCCCTCTGCTTTATCATCTCAGCATCTTTGCCATACAACAGACATATCCCACACTTCTCCACCGGAGAGGGTTCGAGGCTATAATAAATCATGGTGAAGTCAACACTGACCTCAGTAACAAGTTTGTAAAATGCAGTGGGGCTTTGAGCTCCTTCTACAACTTCTTCAAAGACATTACTACACCACCACACAAACAGCTTATGTGAATCTCTGCTTCTAATATTCGTTTCCAGTTTACATAAAGGATGGCTGACTTCACGGCTTTCACCATTTCTAGTTTTGAAGTTGTACTTGCATTCAATGCTACGAATCCGAGGGTCGCGTCTGTCATTTGCAACAACAAGAGATAGAACAAAACCCAAGAAATCTGTGCTAAACCAATCATGAGGAAGCTCAATCTTTATTGAACATCCCTCACTTTTATGGCTGAACCATTTTGGAATTTCATTCCCACAACATCTAATGCCAACGAAAGATTCCTGTACCATGGATATGGACATCATAGTTATTAAACTCGTGAAGAAAAAAAAAAGCAACTTCTTCAACACACAGAGAGAGAGAGAGAGAGAGAGAGAGAGAGAGAGAGAGAGACCTCATCTGAATTATATGATGCTTCTTCAATTCTGTCTTCTTTGAACTTTGACGATGCAGTTGCCATTCGCATAATTCTGAGCTGTGCATCAACCATTATGTTGCTTCGTGCGTTCTCATCCAACTCTGGGCAATTAGAAAATATATGTTTCTCATGAAGCCCTCGAGAAAATTTATATTTTTCCCAACCGTGTGCGAGTGCAGTGCTTGAACTTGACACTGTCGTCAGTGAGGTGCAATCTTCTGCTTCAAGACATTGAAGCAATGGGGGGAGCTCTGGTAAAGATTCAAGGCTTTCGCAATGGCTGAGGAACATGTGAGACAGCTGAGCAGCTTGTTTGATGCTTTCAGGTATGCTCTTAATTTTAGTGTAAGACAAATTTAACACTTGTAATGAGGTTAAGCAAAAGAGCTCATCGGGGACAACCTCAAGGTTCTTGCAGTTGTGGAGATCTAATTCTCGAAGTGCAACCAGATTTCCAATTGATGGGGGAAGCTCTTTAACCGCTGTACGTGATAAATTTAGAAACTCCAGATGTTCCATAACCTCCGAGATTTCTGGGAAGTTTTGAAAGTTAGAACAATTCTCGAGATCAAGGCTCTTCAGAGATTTCAACTTCCAAATGTTCGTTGGGAGACTCACAAGACTTTTGCAATTGAGTAGTTTAATTGCAGTGAGACCAACGGCAGACTCTATTGATGCATTCCTCAATTCTCTTATTGTTGAACAAGTCAACGCTAGCTCTGTCGTACCCCTGGGAAGCTCCCAAAACTCGCAAAGAGATTCGCAGCCTTTTAGACTAAGAGAGAGTTTCAGCTTACAACTGTTGCTTGGAAGACTCTTAAGGTGTTCACAAGATGTAATAACTAAGTGAGATATTTTTTCGTGAGACCAAACTGATGAAGGCAATTCCTTTATTGCTGTGCCATATAAATTTAAGAATTCAAGATAGCACGGCATCTCGGGAAGATTTTTGAGATTTGTGCACCCCCCAAGGTGAAGATAAGTAAGCTTGCCAAGATGTTGAAAATACGAAGGAATTCCAACCAAACTTGTACACTGACGCAGATCTATATGTTCAACTTTTAGACTCTGAGAGAGATCTGGGACTTTAGTTATATGTTCGCATTCAGCAAGATTGATCCATTTTAAGTTCACAGGACTCTGTAAAAAATTAAAAAAGAATTAATAACTTAGCTTGCAGATTATTACTTTCTAGGCCACATGTTATACAAGAACTAAAATAAGCATATATAATATACCTGGTCTTCATTCCAAAGTTGCCCCACAACTTGGCTGTACGGCATTTCAAGGACAACAAGATTTTGAGCAGAAAATTTTGATGGCAAAGATTTCAAAGGATATTTGTCCCAGCGAAGATATCTAAGATAATTGGGAAGACCTAGAGAACCAGTGAACTGGTAATTCCTGAAAATATCAGATAAACTGACACGTAGCCATCTTAGTTGATACATTTGTTCGAAGTTTGGATCTTTCAAGTGTGGCTTTTCAATCTTAGACAAGTCAAGGGATATGGCTTGAACATGTCCATCTCTCTGACAATCAAGAGCAAAATATAAATGTAAATATAATATACAAAAAACAATTTAATCAAAATTACATTTGTAGGAATAATCTAACTTGTATATTGTAAATGTGAATAATTAAACTACCTGGTTATTTGTCAATACTTGATAGACATCCTCTCCAATAAACAACCTATTGTGTTGTTCTCGAGCAATTGTCCTACCCATTTCTTGCACCAAATCATGCATCTCTATCCACCCATCTTTTGAAATTGATATGAGAGACCTATCAATAAGATCATTAATTCCCGCTTCCCCATGAAAATCGCGACTATCTAATAATACTTTCACATAATTCCTCTCACAGCCTTTATGAAAACATGCTATATCAAGAAAAATCTCCTTCTCATTTTTTCCTAATCCATCATAACTTATTCTCAAAGCTTTCTCGATTTTTTCAATTGGAAATTGTTTCAATTTTTCCCATTGAACTTCCCACTCTTGTTTGCTCTTGCAACGATGGAATAAGGACCCCATAAGTTTAAGAGCTAACGGAATGCCATTAATATAATGTACCACCTTTCTTGACAACTCAGTATAATCTGTTGTTGGAGACTTACTTCCAAAAGCATGCGAACGAAAGAGCTGAAGAGCTTCATCAGAACCTAATCCCTCAACGTTGAATATCTTCGCATGGTCAACTTTTAACCCAAGTAGGCCTTTATCTCTAGCTGTTATAATGATTCGACTTCCATGGCAAAACCGATCATTTTCACCAACAAGATATTCTAGTTGTTTTTCATCATTCACATCATCAAGAACAATGAGCGCCTTTGGACGCCTGAGCCTATCTTGAATATGAGATGGTATGGACGGAGTGTTGATATTTACATCTTTATCCTTTAATAATTCACGAACAAGTGTATTGCGCAAGTCATTTAGTCCATCCGTTTTTTCTGATTTCTCCCTGACATTTGCAAGAAAACAACAAACTTCAAATTTAGAGGAGTGCCTGTGAAATACAGCATCAGCAAGGGTGGTCTTGCCAATACCACCCATGCCCCAAATACCTACACAGCAAACACCTGGTGAATCCAAGCATAATAACGACTCAATTTTCCCAATTTTCCTTTCAATTCCAACCAGACCCTTTAAATCACTTGACGATTCGCGATTCAATTTGGCCAAAAGATCTTGAACAACTTTCTCAACAAAATCGGCCTCTGTCCTGGCAAATATCATTATGAAAGACAAACAATAGTATGAATCAAATCATAAAAAGTAGAAATTGATACAAATTAGAGAGTTAGTTACCCTGTTTTGCTGGAATAATGAAACCCAGACATATTGGCTGCTTCCTCCAAAGCAGCCCTCCAGTTGGCCTCCTCATCCATACTGCCCTTAAAACGTTTCTCAAGTCTCCAAAGCAGCCCACCAAGTGTATAAGTTCCCTTTTTTTTTCGTACATGTGATGGATCTATGCGATAAAAAATGGGTATAACAATCTGTCCATGGCTTTTCTTGCATCCAAGTATATGCACAAGTTCTTTCAAACACCAAGTGGAAGAAGCATAGTCTTTTGAGAAAATGACTAGTGCAATTTTCGATTTCTCGATTGCTTCTAGAAGGGCAGGTCCAATGTCGTCTCCTTTCTCCAGTCTGTAATCCATGTAGGTCTCAATTTTCTTCCCAAGTAAAGCCTTGTGAAGATGGCTGGTAAAAGCATCGCGTGTGTCCTCACCTCTGAAGCTAATAAACACATCATACTTTTCTTGAAGAGGGGGGATGTCAGTATCAACAGCAGCAACAGCAGCAGAAGAAGAAGATGTTAATGGTCTGAAGTAGATGTAGAACAGAGTCATGATGAGTATTATGATTATGATCAAAACTTGAAAGAAGTCAATGGAGTCCATATCTGTTTCTCTGAATGCACCAGGAACTAAAATTAAAGCAATCTGATACTTGAGATGAAAACTTGAAGAAGAAAGATAATCTGATATGGTAGATGATGGACCTGAGGGTCTAATTAAATTAAGCGGTTTAGAAAGAAAGAGAATAGAAAGCAGTTGCTTAACAAAACAATTGCTACAAAACGATCCAGGAAAAAGACAAGTGAAATAATTAATACACTGAAGAAAGGAAAGGGCACATGGGACCAAGAAATTTCGTGCATTCAAACCAAGTGATGGACATCTTCTAGTTACTACACCCGTCCACTATTTAGTAATATACAAAGAGGAATGCTATTCACAATACTTGCTAGACCGTGTACCCGTTCTTATCCTTTTAAAAAAAAAAATTATTTTTTCTCTTTCTTCTCTCGGTTGCCTCCCTCTCTCTCTTATTCTATTATTGTTTTCTCTTTCTTGTTTGTTTTGCCTGCAGGTCTTGGCCTCTTTCTTTAAGGCCAGCTCCAATTCACGAGACTAAACCCAAAAAAATTTAAATTATTGATCAAAATTTCTCCCGACCTGAGAAAATTAAAGGGTCAAAATTTGAGAAAACCCAAACTTGTGGCCTAATAGCTGTTCAGCTATTGCCTGGACCTATAAAAAAAATTAATGGAGCACACCTGCTGTGTCAGCAGCCCATGTGCAAGCTTTCATCACTAGGGCCTGCAAACAGCCCATGTGCTGGTTATTGAAGATGCTGCCCTGCCAACTGTTGGCTTACAGTGATGTTATTTGTTTATTTTTTATATATTCTAATATTAACTTCAATAAACGTGTTATAAATTTATACGTTATGGGTTTATAGGTTATGAATGTCCACAATAATAGTCCCTATTAACTTATCATAATACCTATTATTATGTACTTGTAACCTACCGATTATGGTTGGTAAATGATTTAGGCCTCTGTACCCCTATAAATAGTGTATTCAAATATAAATGGAACATAAGTTGATTTGAGTAAATTATATTGCCTCTTTCTTCCTCTTATTTCTTTTTACTAATTCCCTAGTTTCACAACAAAATGAGATTTATATATATATATATATATATATATTGTTGACGCAGAAAAATGGTTCGGCACTTTCCCGCGCAACTTAGAGATATTGGGCCTTCGGTATGCTCTGGGCCTCGGTAGGGCGTTCGATCTGCAAGATAGCAAACGCTCG